CTGATCTCTAGCTATTGTCAGTTGTGATTATGGTGCATAAAACAACATTGTTTCTATACTTAACAGCAGATACCAACTTCTAAGCCGAGCCACAGATTGCAAGAGCTATATGCTGATGTAGAAGCTTAGCTATATAAGCAACTGGAGGCCACTTCGAATGTTTCACTCACCGCTGATGGTTTAGACTTCTTGACAAGCCAAGTCATATTCCTGTATCACAGCCCATTGTATCAATGCCAAGTGGAGCACAAACCATCAGCAGCCCACATAGCAGCCAAACTTTACTGTGTCGCAACTGCCTGAAACAGTAGTGCTTGCATTGCTTTCAATAATGCCTCAAACATGACATAAGCAATAAGAACAGTTGGAGGCATCTACCTTGCTTTGTGCATTCTCTGAATCTAGGCGTACAAGATGCTATTAAGCTTAAGCAAGACCATACAGGCATCAAAGAAAGATGTAAGCACATTGTTTCCAAATTTCATCAAAGTGTAAAGTCTAGTGCCAGCTATACCAAAGTAACTGGCAAGCAGAGGCACACAAGTGTATTCAGAAAATCTGCACTGAATGGAACTCCACCTACTTAATATTTCAAAGGTATGTAGAGCTGTATAAAGCCATTACAGCAACATTGAATCTCCTAGGCCATAACACACTGCCTTTCATCATAAGATGTAACTGTCATATCAAAATATCCGGCAATAAGTACTGGCATCGTTTTTTAGGCAAAATATCAGCTAAGCAGTATGTTTCTGTATCACTGATATCAGCTTTGAACAAGCTGCTACAACAGCAATGCTGCACCAGCTATTGCACATCATACAAACCACTAGCAAAGTTACTAACTAATGAGCTGAAGAGTCGATTCTCTGCACTAAAGACCTCATACCTTTCCTGTGTTACTACATTGCGAAATCAAGGCTTTCAAAAGATTGGTTCTCCTGTCAACCAAACCACTAATCATATCATTAGCGATAACCAGCCTTGAGGTCAGATCCACTGGGATAGATAATTCAGTCAAATCTGGTAGCTCATCACAGTGAACAGAACCATCTCAAAGTTTGTAAAATGCATTTGACTGAAGTGTGGCTGAACCTACATGTTACAAAAACACTGGAGCTAATTGTATGCTTGAAGTGAGGCGATGCTTCCAAAAACCCAACAGTAGCAGGTCCAGCAGTCCATTAGACTGGTAGAACAATGCCAGGAGATACCCATGGTTAGAAAAAGACACTTTTAAATATTTAAGGGTGCCAGGGTCTTCAGTGCCATTAAATAAACTGTTTTGTAAAACTAGAAAGCTTGTCAGTGAGGAGGGAGAAATAGGCTAAAACCTGAGAAGATTGACACCACAAAATTTTTGAATCACAAAAAACTATTAAACTAGTACTAATCCTCTGAATTAAAGCATCTATATTGACTTGTGTGTGTTATCATTATCCATAGTCTAAGAATATTTTAAAGCTAAAAGCCACAAGTAAATTAATAATGATAGTCAATAACTATGCATGTGCATAAATATCATATTTGGAATTGAACAGAATACATTCTGTAAGGTATCTGACATTGCTAAAAAATATGAAACAGAAATAGCATTGAAATTGAGTAAATGTGACCATAATTGACAAAAGGTACCTTATGGCGGGTAGTACAATTTGTCTTTATAGCCAAAAAAATCCAACTTCCTGAACTCCATTTATCATAAAATTACTCCAGAGGATGCAAAAAGTTACTATCTAACTTTTAGAAACAATGGATGTTCAACAGAGCACTCACAGGTTGATATTTTCCATTATATTAATGAATTTTAAAATCCACCATAAGGTACCTTTTGTCAATTATGGTCACAAATATGTGAACTAACAGGCGAAAATGGTCCAGTTGCTGGCATTGGTTGCTATTAACATCATAGAGCTTAAAAAATTAACTGTGACTTTGTATGAAAACTTTTTGTAGCATCAGGGTGTAGCAAGTACATAAAAAACATTAGATATGAAAAAGCAGTAAGATTAAATTGAATAAAACTAAGAAACAAGATGGTACTTGCAAACTGATGTGGTAAGAAATCCTACACCAGTGCATATGAATATTACCCAAAAACATTAATTATTCACACAGAACCTATACTTGAAGCTATGTCTTTGATGCAGTGGTGTAGGAGTTCTTACCACACCAGTGTGCAAGTACCATCTTGTTTC